TCCTATCCTTGCAACTCCTCTCTATCAATGCCCTTATTGCTTTACACAAAAGAACTATATACAGATATCTTCGCAAGTTTATAGATATTGCTAAGGCTATTGGCAAGGATCACATCTTTACCCACGTAACAAACACAAGTGCATTCAAAATTGACCAAATTTGGCTCACCAACGACTTGGCCAGTAAAATCTTAAGTTACAAAGTCTTTGATCAGCATGCTATAGTTACAGACCACAAACAAGTTACTATTATCCCAGAATGGTTTGAATACAGGCCAGACAGAATTTCGTTCTTCACTAACACATACTAGTTTAACAAAGCAAGCAAAGAACAAATACTAACAATGCAGGAAGACATTGAACTATCGTGCCTAGCAAATTCAAATCAAACATGTGACAGCCTTAACAATATTATTAAAAAAGCCATGGACGACAACATTCTGCAGAGAAAGCAACTCAATCCCAAACACAAAAAAGACCATTTACAGCATTACAATACAGCAATTAAATCAGTCAAAGCGGTAATCAAATCCCTGAGAAGCAACAGCATCCCAAGACCAAAGCTTTATCACATGGCTCTAGACATACTTAATAAAATAACCAATACAGAACCATGTCTCAATTCACTAAGGAAAATAATGAAGATCTTGATCGATGAAAAAGTGTCCAAGTCCAATGAAGACATTTTAAATGAAATATAAAAAGGAATCAGAGAAAACTACTCCAGATTCTGGCAAAAACCCAAAACTGCTCTTAAAAGAGCCCTAGGAGATTTAAAGCCATCTTTTGACCTCTATATACTTGCTAAAGAAGATAAACTTCATAAAGATCCTGACAAACTCATCAAAATCATTACTAACCATTTCAAAAAAATCCTCGAACCCAAACCATTCAATATCAACAAATTCTGGCACAATCAATACTTAACCAAATATTCTATATCGGACAATGCATTTGACTCAACCACCAATGAAATACCACTAACTGAAATAGATGAAGTCCTATCCAACCTTCCAAAGTGAAAAGCACCTGGCTTCATTTGTATTCTCTATGAAGCATGGTCTAATTTAGGCATTGTAGCTAGACAACAAATAAAAAAACTCTTCAATAGGGTACTTCTCACAGCTCAACTCCTAACTTATTGGAAGCAATCAGCTATTATACTTCTCCCGAAAAAAATTATCTGGTCACATGATCTTGCTAATACTCATCCCATATCACTTATCGAAGCTAGTCAGAAAATTTTCATGAAAATCATCAATAAGCGCATTTCAGATATTATCGTTAACAAGAAAATTCTTTCTGGCTCCAACTTTGTGGGTCTCAAAAATCAAAGTACAATGGAATCAATCTCAATAATCTCATCTGAACTTGAAGCTGCCAATAATCTTGGAAAGGAACTCTGGATTTCCTCCTTCGACATATTCAAAGCTTTCGATTCTGTAAACCTCCTCAGCTTGGACACAGCCATGAAAAGAATTAAACTTCCTTCTCAAATTATCTCACTCATGTTAAATCTTCTCAACAATAGACAACTTCAAATAATATCACACTACAGATTAATTGATCCTCTCAATACTAGTAATGGAATCGACCAAGGTGAAACCCTAGCTCCATTCCTCTGGACTATCTTTTATGACCCAATGGTTACTCAAATTACCAGTCTCACTTCACCATACTCAAAAATTCTTGCCTACATGAATGACGTCGCCTTACTCAGTGGCTTCCTCAGTTCTTTCCAGAATGCTACAGATATTTTCTGCTCTTTTCTAAAGCTTAACTCTATCAAATGTAACAAGAAAAATACTGACCTCATCACAAATCTCAGCTCCAGAAGCCTACTCTGTGATCAAGAACTATACATTGAAGATGAACCAATTAAGGCCAAACCCCATTATAAAGCAATTCACTACTTAGGCATTTATCTTTCTGGCAAATCAGCATTAACTCCAACCAAAGCCAAACTCAAAGAAAAGATACATGATTTCATCAATGCTATCTCAAGTCAAAAAGGTTGGAATGAATCTATTACAAAACAAGCATTCCACTGGATCATACCAGTACAACTAGATTATGCAGCCCAAGTAGCAAATCTAACAACAGACCTCAATCTTCTCCAATCTAAGATGAATAGAGCAATCAAAAGCAAACTAGGTGTTGAACGAACAATTTCTGACAAAATTCTTTTCTTACAGGCAGGACTCAATATCATTAAACTTGAAAACAGAAGGGACATTACTGCTATCAAACTACTTATTATCAGACTCATAAATCCAAAAACCCTTCATTACATCAAAAAAGAAATAGAATCCATACAAGCAACATGTGCTATTTGGCTATGCCCCATATGTGATCCCTCTTATTTTAAAGAAACTTGGTTAACATCCACGGCTCAACAAGCAAAAAAATATAACATCAACAGTTATCCTTCTCCCTGCCCATTCGCAATTCCTAATCATCAGCAATCCATCAGACTTCTCATCAAGATTAACAGAGATATTGCTCTTACATTATACTACTTCAATCTCAAAACAGTACAAAATACTTACATATTTAAATCTCATAACAAACTTTTCTGGGAAGAATTACATACACACCAAGGTCTCATTTTCCCTGGGCCTATACCACTGTGGTTTAAAAATATACACCAATCAAGTAACACAATTCTTGGAAACACCCTACCCATACCTAACCACAAATCTCAATTCTGGACATATTTAGACAGCTCGAACAATATCAATCTTATCAAGACCAGACTTAATACAATCCTCCAATAGATAATTACAGGCCCTTATTTCTTGACCATGAACTCAAAACAACTTACTAAATGCAATTGCACTAGTCAACCCTGCACCAAGTCAATTAATATCAACCAACTTAAATCTATTTGGATGACAAAAAGAAACAATACCTTTTTCATTCTTAATAACCTGCAAGAACTAATAGACAGCCTGAATCTCACCATCAATCAAGCAGTAGCCATACCTATACTCTCACAGCTACACGTTCCACAACCCATTAACTATAACATATACTTTATAAATAAAAACCACATCTTTGTTCACAGTCCTCTCAAAACTATTACCTACAAAATTAATGTCAATCCTTTAGCTCTTTTTTGGCCTACTCTAACCTTACTATTTCTTGAAGCTATATCACTCTCAACAGTTACATGCTATTCAGCATAGAAACTTAACACTGAATTATCCAAATACATCAATCATCAAGTTAAATTGCCTTATAGTCACTTCATCAAAACAATCAACAATGAACTTAACACCAAACAAATTACTCTCAACTGGGTCTTTGACAAGAATCAGTTTCCAACAACCTTTTCTCAAAATAATCCAGTACCTATATCAACAATACATCCAATCAACCACACTATATCACCCCTGATCAATCACAACTATGCGACGAGCATCACGCAATGGATCAAATTCATAAATTATTACACTAATCTCTTTAATATTTTTCTCAGTTCGTTTGCAACTTACAAGCCCAAATCACTTTCTGAGCTAAACATAATTATCAAATTTAACAAAGAGCTCAAAACAAGCGATAATATCAAATTCAGATCCCTAGCTACCTTCAAAACAAAATTAATGGCAGATCAACTCCCAATCAAAAAAAAACTCCACAACAGATATCCTCAACTCTATACTGACAATCTATATCCACGATGTGACATATATCAAGAAGACTTAACCTATATTTTCACATGTCATCAAAGCTTGCCAACCCTAGGGAAAAAAAGAAACAAGCTTGAGACAATAATTTCTATCAACATTTCAAAAGGAAAATTCAACTCAACAGAAGCAAACCAATTACTTCTTACCAATTTTAACAGATCTTACTTCCTCAATCTCATATTAGGCAAATTTGCTTCACCATTCAACATTTTTCAAAAGAAAGAAGAAATCTCAAATTACTCTCTTAAAACTCTTTACAAAATCTGGAAACAACACTCAGTTACCGCCACTACTTCAACATTCTCAGGCATCAAATAGAAGAAAATTAATACTCCTAGCAGAAATATCACTATCAATTTATGAACTCTTAACACTTATCAAAAAATACTAGATACTTTAGAAAATTTTAACAATTACACCGATAAAAAAATATTTACTCCAGCCATAGTTTCATTGTTTTGAATAGGCATTAGCTATTCAACACCTTTAACATGTAAAGACTTACTTGGTCTCAATGCGTGCTGATTGACCAGTTGCGATAGGCTACAATTAATTTAATTACCCTGTAACTAAAGATTGTTAATGTAATGACGATAAACCATGTCTAATAAATGTCCTGCATTTAATGCCTGTTTGCAATAAAAAAAAATATTTTCTTTAATATTATATAATTTATAATTATAAAAATGTTTTTCTAACTACATATATTTTTTATTTATAATAATTTTTGTTAAAAAATATTTTATACTTTTATTGCAAACAAGTTTTTGTTTAAAAACTACTTATTTAAGTTTGAAAGTTTTGCTTATTCTTTAATTGCATAAAAAAAGTCTGTAAATTTTTATTTTTTTTTGTATTTCTATCTTCATAATATTATAAATACTATTTATATTATTATTATTATACTTATTATACTTATATACATTTTCAAAAATATATTTTAATATTTGTTTTAAATTAATTTTACAAATAAATTTACTCTGATAATATTATCAACTTATTCTTTTCAATTGATCAATACTAACAACTGTCCATTTACTTTACCTCCCTAAAAACCAAACTCATTTAAGCCAGTTTCTTAAGACCACAATAACAATAACAAATTAATCAATTATTACAACAATTACTACATGCTGTATGTATCCAATACTCAGCTATTGTATTAACAAAAATCCCAATAATAAATAATGAAGAATTGGAAGGATGGAATACACCAGACAGAGAATTCTCCTATTGTTGTAATAATAATAAAATATTCTATAATGTCAACACATCATTAAAAATAACAAAAAAATATCAACAATCCAATCAATCACCATACTACTCATGACTCGTATCAAGTACCTACATTAACAAAAATCCTGGGATAACCTTGAAGGAAACCCTGAACAGGAATTAAAGGGAAATGAAAAATGATCTCTTGATAATTTAGTTACTTTATTTTGGTTCTCATGTGCAGCGTAGCATGTTTGTAAATTAGACTGTATATTTACGTGGAGTGAAAGAAATTATATGTAATTATACTAGGTAAATGAGAACCATTTAAAGTTCGAAGGACTATCTCACTAACACATGAAACAACATCCCCTATTTATACATTCCTTGGTTCATTTATCGTTTAAATTAGCTTATACGGTAAATACATCGCACCACCATAACTATCGATCTCTATCATGCCAAGGATTTTTGTCGTGATGCGAAAATACATCATGTAATCGTGACCAAAAAACTCAACTCCTAATTGTCCGAAGGACATTAATAACTGTAAATGAGTTATACTGTATAATAAAAAAACTCCGTTAAATTTATACTGTATGCCGCTATCACTTATGTATCACGTGATCGGAAGGAACACGCTGTTGCTGTACATTAGAGTGTCCTTAGTTAATTACCAGTTATCAATATTTTTATTACAGCATAAAGCTTTTCTCGAGTTGAATAATCTTTATAAACGTCTCGTCCAATGATTTTGAAATCATTCGTAACGGTAAAATCAATACCTTATACACCATCACCTAAAATTCCAATTTCTCGTTCACCAATGGAAATTTGATTATTTTGGCATGCATTCAAATTATGGTAACCGTAAAATATGTACCTTCCTATACTGTACATACTGTACACATGTCGCTATTTTTTCGTTAATTATATGAAAAAAAAACCTATAGTTTTTTTCTCCGAATGTCTTTTTTTTTAATGATTAAACATTTTAAAATGTAATCTAATTAACGAACAAAAATCATTCCTCAATAAAATTATACTATTTGTTCACACAAAAATTTTTAATTTACATTTTTATTTGTAATCCATGAACAATTAATAAAAAGAAAAATTTGGACGTATGGGTATAAAAAATTATTTAAAAAACAGTGATTAAAAAAACAACAAAACAAATAAATAGTAAAACCATAAGATAATCCAAATTATTTTTTTAAGAAAAAGATTTTTTAATTTACATGTTATTTGTTATGATAAAAAATACTAATCTAAAAATCACGAGTGTAAGTATTGATCAAAACATAGAAGTTCCAGGGATCCCTAATACAGTATAATATATATTTTGCATCAAAGATATTTTAGCACTTTTTATGAAGTGCTCACTATATTCACTAGCATGTGACCATATCTTCTATAGATTTTGCATCAGGACTAAATATTGCATGCAGTACCAAGTATATTTCTTTTACAAGGTTGTAATAAAAGTGATCCTTCGTTTCTGATTGACATTTTACCTGTAATATTGAAATTAGTTCTTATCAAAGAAGTGCATCCAAGAATCAGAGCATCAAGATAAAGAAACCCTGCGCCGAGTCAAAAAATAAATCAATTCACTAGTAAACAAACCAATCGAAAATGATTAAGGAGAAGAACCCAATTGTATTAAAAAAAGGCTTATTCAAGAATTATTTCTCAATACCTCTCGAATTTCCAAAATTAGGGAAAAGAAAGGTCTTTATAGAGAATCTATATGAGAAGTTGAGGTTCCCGAATTTTTTTTTGATCTATATTTATTTTCTTATGTTATTGCTATATTAAAAAACTAATAATATTTATCTATTACCTATGCTTAATAATATAGTTATAAGCACAACAAAGGTTTTAATATTATTGGAAAGAATCAGACGCACTATTTCGCTTTTACTTTAGTAATGCAATAATAAGTTTTATTTATTTATTAATAAAGAGTAACCATAGGCCGTGCAAAGTCAAATTTCAGTGTTTCGCGTGATCATAGCTATTTATCTCGTTAAACCTCAGCTTTTAAGGCAGTCCGCTGGATCCGGTACAAGTCAATATTAAAATATGTACCAATTACGTTTGCCGGGATTATTGGAGCATACGCAGGCGTGATAGGAAACGGCGGATTCCAAAATACTTCACTTATGGGAATTGTGATCTGAAAGGCTGGCAAGTTCGGCGCGTTGCAATCAGCAGGATCGTTGACAGGATCTCTTGAATGTTTTTTAGTATTCCCAAAGTCCCACCGTTGTATTACCATTCCTTGGCGGTAAAGTTTAGCCTAATATTTTAAATATGACTACTCAGTTAACTTGTTATCATTAAATAATAAATAAGATATACAGTACCGTCATTGCTCTATAGAAATATCCAGTTCCAGGTTCTCGAATATTTTGTCTAGGATTTAAAATCTTGATACCGATGACAGCACGGACATATTGTTCTTGCATCCAAGTCAAGCACTTCTCTTTCAAATAATCAATACTTTGACCAACAGCTACTTCACAAATTATTCGTGCATGAGGATTTCCCTACATGAGACATAATAATGAAAATCGCATAAAACAAAAATACGATAATATGCATCAAACTCAACATACAGATACATTACTAGGAGGACGAAGCATTATGGTGGAAGCGGAGGGCCTTGGAACAAATGTTACATTCGGTAATACAGCAACATCAGGATATATTTGAACTCCACTTCTATTAGGTGCATAATGTACTATATAAAAAGATCACGGATAAGAATGGAAATTCAATAACAAGTAGCAAACTAGAATAGATTCTCTTACGAGATTGTCCAAGGACTATTATGTGAGGATCGTCAGAAACTCCACCGTTGGGAACCTTAAAATAATCTTGAAGTCGGGTAACTACATACCCATGTACATCTGAGGTCATATCAATTATATACACGTTGCCGGTTTTATTGTCGTTATTTAACTCGAACCGGAACTTGTATCCAGATGATCCATAGTTGTTAAGAAAAGTGGTATAATTTTTTATCTTTATATTCGAACCAATTTGTAAAGGCAAACTGCGTATTAAAGTCTACATTAGCTGATACTAAAGTAATAAGGTAATACTGTATATACCATACACCCACCTGCTTTTTGTTAACGGCCTTTTTGGTAATTTTGGATAATTATGTAAAAATTCGTCAAATCTATCGAAAATCCTTGCCCACCAAATATCGCTAGAAGTGCGTGCACGAGACATTGTTAAGAGAAATTTTTTAAGAGAAAATTATGAAATTTAACATGGTCTGTATCGGATAAGGTCGATCTGGTATGATGTAATCATGTCATTATGAATTAGAAAACGATTACTGTTGTACAGTATTAATCCCTGTGAACGGTTGGTAAACAATGCAATATTAATAATTAAATCTCTATTTGCTATTTATTTTACTGATTGTTATTTTTAATTA